AAAAATGAGGACCTGATGCCAGGGGCTTAAGTGGAGAACAAATGTTTTGAGAATGATGAGGGTGGTGAATGTACAAATGTGCTTTACACAATTGATGTATATATGGATAGTGATCAGAGTTGTATGAGCCCCTAATAAAACGATTAAAAAAAAAAGAAAGAGTTAAAGAAAAAATTCAAGCCTCAAGTTGCAACATTGAGAGATGCTATGGGCAAAATATTGAATGATGCAGGAACCATCGAGAGAAGATGGAAATAACATAAAGTCACTGTACCAAAAACAACTAGGTGGCAGTCCACCATTTCAGGAGGTAACATATGAGCAAGAACCAATGGTGCTGAAGGAAGAAGGTCAAGCTACACTGAAAACATAACTTCTTTTATTATTATTTTTTATCATTTTATTAGGGGCTCATACAACTCATCACAATCCATACATACATCAATTGTGTCAAGCACATTCGTACATATGTTGCCATCATCATTCTCAAAACACCTGCTTTCTACTTGAGCCCTTGGTATCAGCTCCTCATTTGTTCCCCTCCCTCGCTGTACCCCCTCCCCACTGAACTCTTGATAATTTATAAATTATTATTATTTTGTCATATCTTACACCATCCAGCATCTTTATTATTTTAATGTGTCATTTTATTGGGGGCTCTTGCAGCTCTTATAACAATCCACACATCAATTGTATCAAGCACATTTGTACATACGTTGCCATCATCATTTTCAAAATATTTTCTGTTTGAGCCCTTGGTATCAGCTCCTCTTTTTTTCCTCCCTCCCCCACCCTCCCACCTTCACAGACCCCTGATAAATTATAAATTAGTATTGTCATATCTTACACTGCCCACTGTCTCCCTTTACCCACGTTACTATTGTTCATCCTCCTAGTGAGATGGGGTGTTTTATGTCAATCATTGCAGTCAGTTCCCCATTTCTCCCCTTTCTCCTCTCACCTTCCCCCTACCTTCGTGTTATCACTAATCCCATTACTGTTCCTGAGGGTTTATCTGTGCTGGATTCCATGTGTCAAGGGCGCTTATATGTACCAGTGTACATACTCCAGTCTAGCCAAATTTGTAAGGTAGAACTGGGGAAATGATAGTGGCGGGGAGGGAAGCATTAAAGAACTAGAAGAATGTTGTGTGTTCCATTGGTGCTATGCTACAACCTGGCTGTCTCATTTTTTCCTTGTGACCCTTCTATGAGGGAATGTCCAACTGTGTACAGATGGGCTTTGGGTCTCTACTCCGACCCCCATAATTTGAACTGATATATTTGGTTTTTTAGGGTCTTCTGATGCCTGATACCTTATCCCATTTCAACAAATCTCAATCATTGTAAGTACAAAGAAAACCAAACTTAGACATACAATAGTACAAAGAATAGCACATTTGCTGAAAACCAAGAATCAAAAGAAAAATCTCAAAAGTAGCCACAGGGAAATATGATACATTGTATACATTACAGCCAGAGGAGAAAATGTTATGGCTGATTTCTCAGATGAAAATCTGAAGGTCAGAAAATCATGGATTTACACTCAAATAGCTAACAAGCACATGAGAAAATGCTCACATTCCTTAGCCATTAGGAGATGCAAAGCAAAACAAGGATGAGATATTGTCTTACACAGGGGTGAGGTCAAGCAGTTCCCACCGATTAGGCAAAACAGATGATCTAATTTTTATGCCGTTCAGTGAACTGGCTGTTAAAATGGCACTTGTAAAATGGCAGCCACGCAATGTGGAAATCATAAATTTACATTCCTTACTCTTTTTCAATGTTCATCTGTGTAACAGCGTACTCTAAGTGCCTACAGTAATGCTCATTCCATCCATAGGTATAAAAACTTAGATGGGCTATGCTTGTAATATTTGT